TCCCTCTTTAAAAAACAAAAAGGAAAATCCCTCAAACACCATGAAGTGTAGACATGATAGGCTACTTTCCACATTTCCAGCAGCAAAGCTGTCAATTAGGCCCATTATCTTTAACATGGATCATTTCCTCCAACAAAACAAAATGTTGGCACTAATTAATGGTGCTATTAAGTATCCGCAAATGATCAGTTTCTTTCTTATGAAGGGGTGGGATCAAACTTTGTCTTCTTTCCACTCCTTTTTGAACAATCTTTTCATTGTCTGTTGTTGTTGCTTTCTTTTCATTTTTAATGTTCAAAATGAACTTTCAAATCAAAATCAATCAAATTAATTAAACTTCCCATCATGACTGGGCTGCGTTTCTGTCAGCGGAGTCATTTTTTTCCAAAAAACTGATTGGCCAGTGGGTGGTGCTTTTTATAGGATCAGATTCAACCCTGAACTTACCCTGCTCCGGAGCAGGATAGCCGTTCAGAGTAAGTTACCATGGAGATCTACCCCAGTAAGAACTGAACCGGCTTCATGACACCGAAAACCCAGGGTTAACCATGAAGTTACCTCGCTAAGACATTAATCCTGCTTCGAGATACAGGCCCCAGGAGTAGCTAAACTCAATACAAATGGTCTAAGTTACCTAGCTAGCACAGAGGCACAACAGAAGTTAGCAGTTTATACGTTAGCAAAAACCAAAACATTAACCAGAAGCCAAAAGAGCTCAGCCTCTCTGCCTGTTTTGCAAAGCCTACAGACACTTACAAAACACAGCCAGGATACCACTGACAACATGTGTGTTAGCATTAGCAGCAAACACTTACTTTAGCCAGGTGAAGTGTTGCTATCATCCGAAGTCCTCTGGGATGATGTTGCAAGGTCCGAGGCTAGCATCACAAACAGCAGGACAGGTGACGGTTTGATGTTAATCCTCCTTAAAGTCGTCCCGAAGCCACACAATTTAACATTTGGCAGGCTAGTTTGTTTATGAGAAGCTGCATAACCCACAGCAGTGTTAGAAACAGCAAAGCTATATCACAGTTAAATAGTAGGCCTTGTTGTGAAAGGGTGCGTTAGATATATGGTCTGTTACAGCCCGGAGAGAACTTAGTCTGAGCTGTGTGGAGGAAAGTAATTGAGTACATTATTTCAAGTAGTGCACAATTAGGAGGTACTTGTACTTGTCTGTTTTGCTATTTTCATTCTCTGCTACTGAAATATTGTACTTTTTACTCCACTACATTTAGATTTAGATGTGTCGTTCAAAATAAAGCCTAATTAACAAATAGATTATGATGTATTATTGTGAAGATAATACTTAAGTGATTCCTGAGGGGAAGTTTTATACCCTAAACCCAGCAGTAAATAAAGTAATTAAAATATATTCCAGTAATATAATATATACAGTACAGGCCAAAAGTTTGGACACACCTTCTCATTCAATGCGTTTTCTTTATTTTCATGACTATTTACATTGTAGATTCTCACTGAAGGCATCAAAACTATGAATGAACACATGTGGAGTTATGTACTTAACAAAAAAAGGTGAAATAACTGAAAACATGTTTTATATTCTAGTTTCTTCAAAATAGCCACCCTTTGCTCTGATTACTGCTTTGCACACTCTTGGCATTCTCTCCATGAGCTTCAAGAGGTAGTCACCTGAAATGGTTTTCCAACAGTCTTGAAGGAGTTCCCAGAGGTGTTTAGCACTTGTTGGCCCCTTTGCCTTCACTCTGCGGTCCAGCTCACCCCAAACCATCTAGATTGGGTTCAGGTCCGGTGACTGTGGAGGCCAGGTCATCTGCCGCAGCACTCCATCACTCTCCTTCTTGGTCAAATAGCCCTTACACAGCCTGGAGGTGTGTTTGGGGTCATTGTCCTGTTGAAAAATAAATGATCGTCCAACTAAACGCAAACCGGATGGGATGGCATGTCGCTGCAGGATGCTGTGGTAGCCATGCTGGTTCAGTGTGCCTTCAATTTTGAATAAATCCCCAACAGTGTCACCAGCAAAACACCCCCACACCATCACACCTCCTCCTCCATGCTTCACAGTGGGAACCAGGCATGTGGAATCCATCCGTTCACCTTTTCTGCGTCTCACAAAGACACGGCGGTTGGAACCAAAGATCTCAAATTTGGACTCATCAGACCAAAGCACAGATTTCCACTGCTCTAATGTCCATTCCTTGTGTTTCTTGGCCCAAACAAATCTCTTCTGCTTGTTGCCTCTCCTTAGCAGTGGTTTCCTAGCAGCTATTTGACCATGAAGGCCTGATTGGCGCAGTCTCCTCTTAACAGTTGTTCTAGAGATGGGTCTGCTGCTAGAACTCTGTGTGGCATTCATCTGGTCTCTGATCTGAGCTGCTGTTAACTTGCGATTTCTGAGGCTGGTGACTCGGATGAACTTATCCTCAGAAGCAGAGGTGACTCTTGGTCTTCCTTTCCTGGGTCGGTCCTCATGTGTGCCAGTTTCGTTGTAGCGCTTGATGGTTTTTGCGACTCCACTTGGGGACACATTTAAAGTTTTTGCAATTTTCCGGACTGACTGACCTTCATTTCTTAAAGTAATGATGGCCACTCGTTTTTCTTTAGTTAGCTGATAGGTTCATGCCATAATATGAATTTTAACAGTTGTCCAATAGGGCTGTCGGCTGTGTATTAACCTGACTTCTGCACAACACAACTGATGGTCCCAACCCCATTGATAAAGCAAGAAATTCCACTAATTAACCCTGATAAGACACACCTGTGAAGTGGAAACCATTTCAGGTGACTACCTCTTGAAGCTCATGGAGAGAATGCCAAGAGTGTGCAAAGCAGTAATCAGAGCAAAGGGTGGCTATTTTGAAGAAACTAGAATATAAAACATGTTTTCAGTTATTTCACCTTTTTTTGTTAAGTACATAACTCCACATGTGTTCATTCATAGTTTTGATGCCTTCAGTGAGAATCTACAATGTAAATAGTCATGAAAATAAAGAAAACGCATTGAATGAGAAGGTGTGTCCAAACTTTTGGCCTGTACTGTACATACATCCTGAAATGTCACATTCTCCATAATTAAGATATATGTTTCACTTAAACCTTGATTAAAACAATTTTTGTGACATTGACATGTCAGTTACAACAGCATAATAAAATAACTGAAAAATAAAAACAGCCAATGAAACAAAAACTGCTTGTGTAAACACACATTTTTACAGCCTTAAGGATCAGTGAATATATAGATTATTTTTCCAGACCAGTGTTGTCTTTTGGAGTCTTTTATAGAGTCCATTTTTCCCATTTTCTTTCTAGTTGTGCTTCTTGTAGTCTCAGTACATGCGTCACTTTCTCCATTAAAAAGATTTCTTCCATAATTGTTAGCCATTGCTCCTTCGTTGGTGGTGTTTCTTTACCCCAGTTCCCCGTGATAGCCTTCTTGCTCGCTACTAGCAATATTTTGATCAAATATCAATCACTTGCAATGACATTTTCCTTAGACATTTTCCAAAAAACATGAGAGTAGTCTACATGAGAAGACTCGCACTCTGGCCAACAATTCTCAGATCAGACTATTTCTTCCACCGCTGATTCTTTTTTCTTCGTTTCTAAGTATGTAATAGGCCTATATTCACACTGTGACTGTGACAAAAGCAAGAATACTCACAAAAGTCAGTGCACACTGGATTTTGAAGTGTGCTGTTGGTGCACACCATTGTGCAGCGATACAATCCACAAACTAGAGGTGGTAGTCACAGCTGCAAGTGATAAAAATAAATTGCAGATGGTGGAGAGGCTGCTCCAGAGAGAACACGGAAAAGAAATAAATGAAATATTAAACAGTTGGAAAATAATTTGGCGAGTATTTGCTGATTTGGCAGTCGCATCCTAAAGTCATTTTGACTAATTTCACTGCTTGTAAACCAGAGGTTTGTTGATTTCGGATAACTCCTCTATAAAAACAGTATTCTGCAAAGATAAATATGTTGTGTATAATTAGTAGCCTATTTATGGAATTAGGACACAGGCTACGTTCTGCAGTGCAGCCTCACCTGTCTGTTGCAGGCTTTTTTTTCTCGTAGAAGCTCCTTTGGTGAGCAAGGGTGTAAATAAAGCAAAGTTACTCAAGTATTGTGCTGAACAGAGCCTCCACTTTGTGCTGTTTCATGCACTCCATCACATTTCAGAGAGTTCAGATGCTCTACTTTTTAATCAGCCATATAATTGACAGCACGCTGCTACACTGTGCTTCACAGGTTTTTATATACAGAACATATTATGAGCATAGTGAATGGTGTGGCTTTTATAGATAAATTACCCAGCAGTGTGTTGCAACTTGACCACCTGCAACATTAATTATTATCAAATAACTAGATGCCTCTCACAGCAGATGCTTTGACTTTTCAAATGCAGGTGTTTCTTATTAAAAATTGACGTTTTCAGCTGTAGCAGGTCTAAATGTTTTACTTTATCATCATTAAATCATCTTTATTATTCGAAACATGTTTAAAATATCACTCAGGCATACAGTAGAGTTAAAAACTTTTTATTATGTTTTATGGAGGATGGTGTTAAAGGAACAGTTCACCCCCAAATCAAAAATACATATTTTTCCTCTTACCTGTAGTGCTATTTATCAATTTAGATTGTTTTGGTTTGAGTTGCCGAGGTCAGTGGTGTAGTGGTAGCTGATGAGATGGGTGCACTACAAGGTAGATGGGTATATTAGTGAGGAGGAAGTGGGTTTACTCTTCTATATATTCCAATGTTTTGACAGATAGATGGATATACTGTAAACAGCCAGAAAAACAGGTGGATATGCCCCATATACCTGCATGTACCCTCCACTACACCACTCCGAGTGTTTGAGATATCGGGCGTAGAGATGTCTGCCTTCTCTTGAGTATAATGGAACTAGATTGCACTCAGCTTGTGGTGCTCAAAATGCCAAAAAAAAAAGTTTTCAGCAGTAATGTCTCTTTACAGAAATCACGGCCATGTTACTCAAGATAATCCACAGACCTTGTTGTGAGCAGCTTCATGTAGGAACTATTTTCTTTCGACCGAACTACACCCGCCAACTGTATCACCGTGCAGAAGGAGGCATGTATCTACTCATGGAAGATGCACACACTGATGGCGTCCTCCTCGGCTGAGCTGTAACGTTAACTGGCTCAGTGGTGAGCTAGCAGTGATGAGCAGCTTCATGAGCAGCTTCATCTAGGAACTATTTTCTTACTACCGAACTGCACTAGCCAACTGTATCATTGCGCAGAAGGAAGAGTGCATCTAATGCTAGTTCACCTAACACCACTGAGCTAGCTAATGTTACAGCTCTACCTAATGTTTAAATCTTGTGCTATCATAAGCATGGAAGTTTTCAGATGGATGCTTCCTTCTGTGCAGTAATACAGTTGGTGGGTGTAGTTCAGTGAAAAGAATATAGTTCCATTATATTTGAGAGAAGGCAGACATCTCCAACACTCTGCAACTTACACTTAAACAATCTAGACTGATAAATAGCACCAGGACCAATATGTATTTTTTATTTGAGGGTGAAATGTCCCTTTAAAGTCATTAAAATAAAAGTTCCATTATTATAAAATTTGCATAAATGGCCGTGGACCCCCACTGTTTGGTGTTCAAGCTGCAGTGCATGACGAACAATACTACTCACCCTCTCATGCCAGTCACTGACTGCAAACACAAAGGTGAACACCACTGAGCACCACAGGACATCCTTCCTCCCACCAGCCATGAGTCTGCACTGCTCCTCTCTCAGTGCTGGACACATAATTGGGAATTATTTAAGAATTATTATCGTGCACTATCACCACAAACCTTGTATCTTATCCTGGATATAAAGATACTTTTTACACCACTGATGAGTCAGTTCGACCAGGACGACACAGATATAGACCGGCTGATAGTAAAAATGGATTATATTCATCACTCACTTTCAGTATCACAAAGGTTAATTCACACACCACCATTCATTAATTTAATTACTCCATGGCCGAATGGGTACGACC